CGTAAGGATTGACAGATTGAAAGCTGTTTCTCGATTTCGGTTTTTGGTGGTGCATGGCTATTCAGTGGTTGGTGGAAGCGATGACTGGCTTCATTCCGATAACGAGTGAGACTCTAGCCTGAAATGGATTTTTGGGTCCAGTGAACTTAGAGGGATACTCGGTTTAGCCGGCGATAACAGGTTGGGTGATGCCCTTAGATGTCTGGGGCTGCACGCGCTACAATGAAAGAATCAGCTGGCCTATCCATTGCCGAAAGGCATTGGTAAACCGTTGAAACTCTTCCGGGACCGCCCTCTTAGAAAGTGAGCGGAGTTTCCCACTAGAGGTATAAAAATGAATTTGCGATGTGACGCTGAAAATGTCGCATAATCCCACGAAATGCTGGATGCGAGAGTGGGCGGAACTTTCCACGAGGGACGGAGTTCCCCCACTAGAAGAGGAGCTTGACCTTGGTGGGCGGGGCTACGTGAGAGACAGGTTAAAAATTTCGAAAATTTTTCAAAATCAGAAATTTCATGAAAAAGAGCACCGAGAGGCGTCCATGTCGCAGACAAACACTCACAATTCAGCGTAGCGGGCGCACTTGAAATGGATCCGCTTCCCACAGCCCATTAGCGCTTAGGCTATGCTGCTTTGCACGTACAGGTTCACCACCAAATAGCCGCTTTAGCCACCACGTTGGTTATGAGTTTCATAGTGCCGGCTGGTTTGTGCTTTGTCTAGACTAGCCGGGAAGGATTGAATTGACGAATTTCACGCCGATAACAGATGGCCCCTGTGGTTTGCGCATGACATTGTATAGACCAAGTACTAGGACCAGAGTCGTGTCCAAATACCGCTATAAGTCTGCAACTGTATCCGTTTCACGAGCAAAAAGGAGACTGATCAGAGCTCCATCACTTTAGTTCAGTTTACCTGGATAGATCTTTATTATTCCACGAATAGTATAATTACTAGTGATCTTAATCATCGCAACATATACAAATTTACTTACCGAATCCATATTTACTCATCAGCTTTGCATTTTTGCTCTGATCAGCGAACAATGGAATAGTGATCACCGGCTTCCCGCGGATTGCCGTTTCCATCATACTGTTTGCGCCACCGTGAGTGACGAAAAGCGTCAGACGAGCATCAGCTAAAGCGCTGCCATTTGTGCGTGCTATAGAAGCAGCATTTTCATGAGGAAATCCATTTTTTTTCTCAAAGCACATATTGCATAGAATAATAATGCACATCAGGTTCCCTTACTCCTAGGTTTGGGCTGTAATCATCAATCATTCGTTGCTTCCCCCTTCCATCACAGCCACCAGCAATAGGGGGAGCAAGAAAAAACGGCGCAGAAGTGAAGCCCATGCCATCCCTTAGCCTGAGAGACAAACTATACACTGATCTCCATGGGTTCATACCATGGGCGAGGTTAATGGGTCCGCAGCTGCAAAAGCGTGCCACTTTTTACTTTCAAAACTGCACGAAAATGGGTTGAAGGGTAGTGCTGTCTCGTCTACGATCTGTCTACGATCTTTCACTTCTGTTTGTTCTCTGCCGTCGAGTGCGTGTTTCGCTGCGGGAACGTATAATGGTATTGACGCATACTGAGGTTAGCATGGGCGAAATACGGCAAAGGCACTTTGGTACCACTACTCCTGAGCCCCGTTCCAATCTACTTCTTAGCGGAAAAAGTGGTACGCTACTGCAGCTGCGGGCACATTCACGTAGCACACTTACTGAAGCCGAGCTGCGCCCGTCCTTCTTTCATTTCAGTATAGCCCCAAGTGCCCACAGAAGGTTTAAACCTTACCAGGAAAGGTCAACAGGTCAGCCTGGCCACATGCAATGAGGTGCACATCATTGTACTCGTCTTGAGACGGTGAACTCAAAACTATCTTCAAAATTTGCGGAACGATTCTCTGAGCGGAGTTATGGAGGTTTCTTTACTGTTTTTCTTCTTCCGGGCGCGCTGGCGCCAAAGCGTTGGCACCTGTAGCGCGACTCACAGCGCTCTTCGCGCAAAACAGGTATCATATTCGTGTTCAGGGGTCAAATAACCCCTAGAGACGGCACCTTCATGGATAGTCATGGCTGACTGATAGCCAACAGCGATGCTACGACTAGCCTAGTAGTGATGACTGGTCTTCGAGCTGAAATAACTCTTCAATCATGCCTTCTCGCAAAGAACAATACCTGGCTCATTCATTCGTGCCGTCTGCATCATTTTCCTGATTACCGTAGGAAATTCCATCCCAAGACCAGTCATCCATGCGGGTGGTATGGTGGACCCCTGACTGCTGGCTAATTGCCCATGTGGCCACATTTTCCAGGTTAGGTCGAAACGTCAGATTTGGCTAGAAACTTGTCCCCAGAGGCAAATTGACCCGCTGAACATGGATATCATGGTATTTCGTTGCAAAAACCGTTGTAACATTTGTTACGAGGGGGGACAAGCACGAGCACTATTTCAGCCATGATGGGTCTACACTTTCAAACAAGAACGATCGCAGGTCCCCTTACAGGATGGTGCAGGCGAGCAGAGATGTTAGAAGCCTCGTCTGCCATATTCTTGGACAAATGCAAAAATGTGCTACCCGCCGGGACTTGATCCCACGACGTCTCGCCTAGGGAAACCCACTCGCTATCCGTCGAGACTCCGCTCAGAGAACTCGTTCCGCAAATTCTGAAGACAGATTTGAGTTCACCGTCTCAAGACGCGCACAACGGTGTGCACCTCATTGGAAATGGCCAGGCTGACCTGTTGACCTTTCCTGGTTAGATGGACAACGCAGATGCTGAGTTAGTCACGAAACTGCAACGCATCCGGCCAAGTTTCTGCCGTTCTGGCGTAATGCTTGTCAAAAGATAAAACTTAAATCTTTCAGTCTATAAGCCAACTCGAAAAGTTCTAATCTAATGAAGGTGTCACCTAACAGATCGCCTTGTGGGGTCCACTTCGTCGGTATCACATTCTTGATTCCTTTGAACATCTCGTCGTCCGGTTCTTCATATTTCCAAATAAAAGTTATGTCCGAATATCTGGAACGAAGTGTGTCTTGAGGAATATATGTAAGTCATTGTAAGATATTCAATATCTAATCCAGGAACGGACAAAAAAAACATGTGACCATCGTCAAAGGCACGTCCCACACTTGTCGTGGGACATAAATAGGGAGATACAGTGGCAGACCGGTCCTCGCCCACACGGCGAGCATGGAATATTGTATAGAATTTTCGGAACTGAATAAACCATTGTAGGCTTATTTCTGTTACTTTTCGTTTGTCGCCATTTGAGTAAGGGATATGTACCATTTATTTAGTTATAAGTGGAACGGTAGATAATGCTTGACACCTTTTCGACAGGATTAACGCAGAACGTTATACATGAAAAGCAGTTTCAGCATTTGCTTATTAGGTCATTCCATTCAAAAATAGGGAAGGTTTCAGTTCAATAAAACGAAGAGGAAAACAGATTAAAGAGTAATATCTCGGCTGAAAGATAAGTAGACCCCTCTCTCACGAACGACACGCTCCCAATGGCTTCGCGAGCGAGCGTTTGGACCAGTGGCTTCTTCGTTTTTATTTCAACAAGTGCAAGTACATTGCTCCTGATGCAAATTTTGGCGGATGACAAAATGCCGTAGCGTTTGCCATTGGACAGCACCTTTTTTATGACTAGTGCAGGTGAAATTGCACGGCTGTAGGTTGGACAAGTGAGGCGATCAAACCCAGTACTCAGTTTTGCTTGTGTCCTAGCTTTGCCACACAGCGTAGTTTTTCGTGCGTGGTCTGGCACTATGGCGAGCAACGATGGCCTTCTTGTAGCTGTGTGGTACCATCCATTTGTCGATCTGACTGCCGAGGAACAGGCAATATACACCGACAGTGAGAGTTTTGCTCTCTTTCGAAGGCAAACCTCGCGATTATTTGCTATCACA